GTACAAAAAAAAACCAAACGCAATTACCGCATTATGACTGGGCCAAAAATATGCCCCCTTTCGCAGCTGGCTAGTAGCGTGCTCCGATTGGTAACTTTGAAATGTGCAAACATGTAGTGATTTGAATTTATGCCAATATCGTCCGTATGCTGCGCCATACTTTCCAGGTCCCTGTCATGCTGTCCCATTAGTTTGTTGTCCGATTAGCGGCGGCATCGACCTTTAGTGTTCTTTTCCCTACGACGCTAACGTAACTGTTGTCCATACCGAAAGAGCCGGAAACCACACAATCGAACTATTGAGAGAGAGATCTATCAGTACAAAAGAGCTGCATATCTACGGTGGTACAGCCCATAAGTAATCCAACAGCACTAGCTAGGAGGCCCCTGGACTAGGCAGAACGTAAACTCGATCAAGCAACGCTGAGATAAGTCTTCTAGCAAACCTCTATTATGGTATTGCTCGATTAAGGAAAGTGTTGTTATGGCCAGGGACCCCCCTACTAGTGCTGTTGGATTACTTATGGGCTGTACCACCGTAGGACCCGCGCATCAATTAAGCTTATCCTTTGGGGTTAGCTCTAAAGAAGCCGTAACCTAACGCCGAAAAGCCCTGAAAGATTACAGGATCTTTTATCTAAGCGAAAATCGCATGCAAAAAATGGAGAAGGGACATAGCGTTTCTTAGCTGAAGAAATAGGAGCCGAACTCCGACCTCGCCCTGGCGCGCGACTCCCCGCACTTGTTTAGACCCAAGGCATTCCACAGCGGGGTAGAAGAGCGGGTTGCCAGTAACGTCTTAGCTGCCCTCTTATCAACGCCACATCGAGGCGCGGCAAGTCGTTTATTTAAGCTTCGAGCTAAATTTTGGCGGTAGCTTAGGGAGCTTGCCATTCTGCCCAGACGACGTCGCCTTATGATCGTCCACTTATGACGGCAGTACCACCCAGCCGGTCCTTCGACAGGGGACAAGATCCGGGTCGGTAGTCAGCCTGGCCCTGCGTATTCAGGGTCCTGCCAAATTCGAGCGAGATCCGCGTTGCCTCGAACGCTCCGCATTGCTTTGTGCCTTAGAAGAGCGCGTCATCAGGATGGTGTCGGGGGAAAAGAATGTCTCAATCCACCATAACCAGCCAAAGATTCGCAAGTTGGCGTTCTCCCCTTTTTGTGTTTGAAGAAACTGAGTGTTGTGGTCACGATTGGGAGTGCATGAATCGTTTCCTTCAAATCAGAGCTCTGAAGCGACCTGTGGTTTGCGCAAGCACTGCAGGTCCTAATTGGAAAGAGTTGGCGAACTCTTGGCTCTAGCCGAGCATCCCCCTGAAGGCGGAGGTGGGTCGATTCGCTTGTTGTTGATCTCGCTGTTTTAATAGCACTGAGTTTGCGGCTCAATTCAACGCTAACGACGATGAACACTGGCATCAGGGGTTCCGTTTCCATCTGTTTGGGTTTCCAAGCATTCAACACCCTGAGGGTACGTCGGGAATTTAAATTGACCTGGTTGTTCTGCACTATCTGCTTGAATGTCTATCTTTGTGGCCCGAGACCTCCAGGCCTTCAATCTCCTTGTCACAACGGTGTTGTTTGTGCACAATGTTCACACCACACCTAGGTGCCTCTCCCTTGTTTGGCATGGAGGTCGGATCGATAGTCTGAATCTGGACTCTAGGAGAACAGCTGCCTCGGTCCTGGATACCGGCAATCATCTTCTAGTGACCTATCCGTCCAAGCTTTGACTTGAGGACCGTTCCAGCCATACGACTCTGTGTGCCCCCATGATCACCTCACTGCAGCCGCCCCAGCCTTTCACCGCGTTTATGCCTCCTATTGCCACGTACAATTTTCCATTATTGCTCGAATTCGTTAATCTCCTCAATTCGGACACGGACACGGCTTGGGATGAACTATCGTGAGCCACCATCATGAACGAAGCATATCCGAGTCTGCTTGCAGGTACGGAATAGCCCATGTCGCCTCCAACTCTCGCGCATCGCTGAGTCCCAGAGGAATCAGACTACTGCTACTGTTGTGAACCTAATGCGGCCCATAGATATATGCTCATGTACCTACCGGCTCCCCCTTCCTTTATAACACTTCTCGTTCTGTTCGTGGCAAGATAAGGAATTTACCCTCTTCATCCAACATCACACTCTTTTATACATTGTCTTCCATCTCACATTCGTTTGATCCGTTTTGTTCAGTGTAGAGCTTCATTCGTTCTTTCTTCGCCTCACTCGTTCTATAATTCATTAATCATGGGGTTCATGTCATACTTCAAACTGGCGAAGCCTGCCGTATAGAAATCTGACAATAATAATGAGAAGATTCCTGTAGCTCTCAATCCTGTTGCAGCGCTCGATGCAGCACAAAGCTTCACTGGATCTCTACCAGGCAGAGTCGCAGCACCAGACTCCGAAGTCGCGTCCCTTTCTCCAGCACCCTCGACCCGAGCAGCACAAGAAGACTGCCTCGTTGACGAAACGAAGCATCAAGTTGTCCTCAATCATCTGTTCCAGCATCAATGCAGCTCCCTTTGGATTCACGATATCAGTCAGCAAGTAGAAGGTGCTACGGTACGGAAAAGGCGAAGTGAGTATCTGCTCAAGCCACCAGGATTGGCAAACTCACAATTCGCACAAGCGATGACGATGTTGAACGTTCAAGTAAGCTTTTGATTTCTTCTGTCAAACGGTTGTGGAATGTCATTGTGTTTTATCTCTCATTTTCATGCTGTGCAGCTGTCTCTCGTTTAGAAAAGAAGCAACTAACACTCCCGGCCTTTACAGGCAGCGATGACGGTCTCTTCCGGAGTCATCGAACCCTTCCTTGAATGGAACGCCGATACTGTCGATGTCCCGCTCCTCAATGGCCTCAGAATCCAAATTCTCCCTACATTTGAGGACCTCTACAAGGTAAAGCGACATCAATATGCAGCCTTTATCGCATCGGAAGCTCTCCTGATCGTATGGGATGATGAGCCAACTCACCTTTTGCAACGCGCGAAATACATCGAAGCAGAACTTCTCAAATTTGTGTGGAAGACAGCGAATGCAGCTGCGACAGAGAAGAGGTCAACGAGTCTGAATATGAAATGGATGAGGAGACTGGTCTCACGGCGGAGAAGGAGCAACCAATCTTGTTGTACAACTTGGGAGTAAAATCAACATCATCTCGTATATCGGCACATACTACGCCATCAGAGCTGCTTGGATCATGACGCTGTCCAATCACATCGCTGTCGGTCTCTTCAATGGTTTCTTGGACAAGTGGTATGTGGAGAGTCGGCAGATCTGGGTCAGTATCATCATGGTGTTTACTGTTGCTGGAAATGTCGCTTTGGTGGTGCAGAGACATCGCACCAGTGAGAAGAACTTCGTCTACTCTCGTAAGTCAGCCCTCCAATCCATCCATAAAACTCGCATCTAGTGATCGAAAACTTCAAATAGTGTTTCATGTTCGTGCTCTTCTTCGGTGGCATGTCCCTCCACATCTCCCAGGCTCTCCTGTGCCATTTGTTCAGCATCGATAGGTCTTGGGGTGCCACATCGAAAGAAGTCGAGTTCTCCAACTTCTTCACTGAGATTCCTAATGTGGCGAGATCATTCGAGTACAGCATCACAATGTCTCTGGCGACGATCGCTGCAATGGTCATTATGGCAAAGGGTGAATTTATCCCTTGGAGTTGGAACATCGAACAATTTGCGGCTATCTTCCCGCTTGCGATGCTGTGTGCTTGCCATTTGTTACTGCCAGTGGCTCTGAACCCTGGGTTGATGACTTTCTCGTGGTAGAGTGGTGGTGATGGGCTGAGATGAGACAAGATGGAATAAGACGGAGTATGAGGCTGATGTGCGGTTAATGTTAATGGCGGTCTTGGATGGTGGGCAGATTTAGACGTACCTTCGACGACATTTATACTTAGACCCTTTCCACGTATGAGAAGTAGGTTAATCCAATGGTAATACCTTTTGGTCCCCAATTTTGTCTTCCAAATCACATTGGTGGTAGTGATACTTGCTCGGATGTATGCACAACCTCTGGGACAGCCCAATACTTTTCCGCTAAGCTAAGATGCTGATATGATATGGAATGACTGGATGTATTTCAATCTCGTGGGGTTGCTGATCCGGCCATCTCGAACGCATTTGCGGCTTTGGGGAAATCTTGCGGACTCGTCGAGGATGGTCACGTGATACGTCACGTCGAGACTTCCCAAGTTCCGAAAATCTTGGATATGGTGTGGATGAATATTTCGGAAAGTCTGATCGATCTATCCGAGGAACTCTCTCACGTCATACCGAAGGAAATAAGAATTTGGCACTTCTTGTAACCGAAAATCCAGCATAATGGCCACGGGAGGAACCGTAAATGAGATCGATCGAGTGCTTCAGGAACAGACTTTTACAACTTCCAGTACTTGGGTACGGTAATCTAAATCTCTCATGAGTAATCAAGGGTATGCAATGAAATCATGTATCGACCTTTGGTAGACTTTCCCGCCATATTGTGGCATGTGCCGTCTTCTTCTTCCCATTCATCGCTGATTCCTCTATCTTTGCTCTATCTTTCTCGGCATCGGTTTATGAAGCGACACCGGATTGGCATGAACTTGTACTGGCAATGACAATCTTCTTTGCAGATATAGAATTGGCACATGTGGGAAAAGAATTATGTGCTTGCATTCAAACTATCATGAAAATATCTGCCACTTGGGTTTTTACTCGTCGAACACAAGGCAAGTTCACCTCACGTTGGAAAGGGCATGAATGGTGTCAAACTGTAAGATCGCTAGCACTTCAGCGACTTCCAATGTTAGAAAAGGAAGGAGAAACTGGTAGAATAAAAAAATTGGTCCCGAGTGTGGAAAATATGAGTCACAGCCGCCCGGCCGTCGCCTAAATCCCGATCGCTGGGTGACCTTCGGCACTTCGAACACGTCTATATAGATTTAAATAAGTATTTTTTGGATATCGAAAATCATCCAGTCTTCGATATCATATCAGCATGTTAGCTCAGCGGAAGAGCGATGGGCTCATAACCCATAGGTCCCTTGATCGAAACGAGGACGTGCTAAGATGAATTTTTTTTTTTTGCACTTTTCCCTCTGCGCACATCTTGCGCCCAAGTCTTTTCTTCGCTTTTTTTTTTTTGTTCTTTTCACTTTCGAAGCAGCCCGGGTAAATACAATCCAGTCAATACCTTTCAGAGCACGAGTCAAGCGTTCCCTTACGAGGTTTTTCTAGACGGGTTTGGTGTGTGGCAGGGCTCGGCAAATTGCTACAGTAGGGCAGAGAACTCAAGCTGCAGAAACGTGACTGCTGTGAATACATTATCGTAACTTAAGATGATGAATTCAAACTCAATATTTGGCTTTATGAAGGCGAGAGAGAGAAAAGAGCGTATCGCATAGACAATCTGAAGAACCTAAGATCGTGGGACTTACACCTGACGCTACCGCACTAGCGCACTCCTTTTTAAGCGAGGCTAAGCGAAGGATCTCCGAACAAGAATCTAGACATTGAGAGAAGCGCAGTCAAAGACGAGCTGCTGATCATCAAGTAGCTCTTCCTGGGTGACATTTTAGCTGATGTTTCTTCTTGGCTCACTCGGTTCGTATATTTTCGTTGAGGAGCTGCCTTTTTGTTGCGAAACTGTTACATACGATGGTGGCTGGCTGGCGACCGACGTCAGTGAAGTCTCGGCCTGAATTGCTCGCTGAAACTTCTCATTGCCTTGGAAGTGAGAGCGGTAGGGCTGCTGCATCAGATTGAGCTCAATAACAGTGACTGTTCGAGATCATCCGGCGCCGTGGAGGTAAGTGATGGTCTGGATCGCTGCACGTGGATGTATTCGCTCTGTATGGTGTGGACTATTGTGGGCACTGGCAAAAGAATTTTTAGTTAACTTTGAACGTATTGACTAACCTGAAGGCTTCTGGTAGTGCGATGCTGTTGATGATTGATGGCGACAATCTGCACCACTGAGGTCTGGAACCGAGGCTTGTTCTGGTACAGAATGCTTGAGCATATATGATGATGTCAACCTTTCCAGAATTATTCAGCATCGCGATATGATAGGAAAGGCCAGAAAGGGATGCGCAGGTCTACACAGAATGGTGTTCTTCGGCTTACGTGGACGGCTCGTAGTTGTCCAAAGGGGGATGCGTTCTTCTTTCGGGTAGAGCTCTTCTTCTGAGCGAAGCATGCCGTGAGAAATTGGTCAACCACCGACGTCAATCTGCTTCCTGTTGTCGGTCTACAACTTCTCGAAGGGATATCCGTTCACGTTTGCTACCAGAATCAATTTGCTAAGACAAGACTAGATGAGGGGAAACATGGACAGACAGTTCCCAGAAGCATACGCTTCACGTGAACTCCTATCACATCAAGAAATTTACGAGAAGCACTATCTGTCTCTACCTCAAAACTCATGGTTGTTCCTCAAGCTTCGGCTTGCTCTTTCGATCCGAACCTTGTTCAGACGGCGCGTCGGATGCTGATAGTGACGAGGCTATCAATAGCCATAGACGACGAAAGCGGCCTCAGACCTCCGCCCTACTGCCTCACCAGTTCGAAATTAGTCAAAGAGGATACTTTAATACTCCCCACATTCATGATTCTTAGTAATTAAGCCCCTTTTAATATGCAGACATGAAGTCAAGCTCACTGACATTGATAACTTCCAACGATCCCCGGGTCGATTTCCAGACTCTGTTATCACTTGGCGAGCACCTTGCTCGCCCACCAAAAGAAGGAAGCACTACTAGCTGAATCCAAAGCGAACACAGTGAAAGCGCCGAGGATAACTTGGAGACTATTCAAGAACGATGTGCCGAAGAAGGCATGGAGACGGACTCAAACAATACTGACTACATCTTTAAGATCCCTCGTTTCAAATGCGATCTTGATCATTTCAAGATATTGATATCGAATTCGAACTTCGATGCTGATAAGACTCGAGATCGACTTGACTTTCACGGCCAGCCATGCAGAGTCAACTCAACTGGTCGAGGTAAACTTGCACTTAAAACACCCAAAGTTTCTCTCAACGGCCCGGCGGAAGAACATCTGAACGCCGCTTGCGTAACACGAGACAATGTCTGTCTTCCGACTCAGGTGAGGAGTAGTTCCCTTCCTCGCTCATGTCTCTGAATCGAGTCACGTGTTACCCCACCTACTGCATTCGGAAGACTGACCGCCACTTCTTAAGTTTGTAGCCCCCAACTCCTACTTATCCAATATTTTCTCTTTGAGTTGCGGCATCGCTCCGTTACGATACGCAGGGAAAAGCTTGCCCCATCGAGAAGTTGGTCGTGCTTAATTCTACTCGCTACTGAGAATGACGAGAGGAGAGCTGCAGCGGTCTGTTTAAACCCGCGACGAGGGTAGCCTCGAAAATCTTATCACCATCAAACTGCATATGAACCCTTGCTTCAACAAGGACTAGGGAAGTGTAATCGAAATGTGTGGGTCAAGAAAACGGCTGTTCTGTCAGCAAGATGTGCGTTGTGCCTGCTGAAGAGTCGTCGAACGACCTTCATAGGGCTCAAATGAATAATGCTGAGGCCGTGAGGATCCTAAAGTATGGAGCGTATGAGACGTGTGGGTCCCGCTCATGTCATCTTACTCGGCCTGCAGTGAGAACTCTATTGCTTCGGTTTTTCTGAGGCTCTTGGGTATGAGAAAGATGGTCGCTGGATCGCGTTCTCCAAGCTGTCAAACATACCGCTACGCGTCATCTTGCGTCCCATTTCTCTAGATAATAAATTAGCATTCATGCAGTCCGTATAATAGATTCGTCAAGGACCACAGAACTCTCGATCTCGAACGTTAACTAGATGTTCAGTCGGTGTCTTCCGAATGAAGATATATTGGTCCCATTCAGACACTGAGGGGTTTTGTCAGCGTGCATACCCCCCTGACACCGGTGGCTGCACCCGTTTTGACCGGGTAACCGCCCAGTCTTACAGTACTAACGAACATGTGGACAGAAGTCTGTGCGCTCAGCGCATTTTCCTCGCCAAAAAATGAGCTCAAGAATCAAAAATCCTTTTCGTCGCTTTAAAATTTGAAAATAACTATTTATAATAATTATTTACAATCGAAGGACTGAATATATAATTGATGAAAGTGTTTTACTTAATTAAAAAATTCTCAATTAAATAAAAATTAAAAAAGTTCCAAATTTTTTATAGGGTATAGTTGCTAGTGAAATGCCCTGAACGCACAGACTTTTGTCCACATGTTCGTAACCGCCCAACCAAAAAATAAAGAATTGATTTAAATAATTACAATTCCATCAAATAATGACCTAAATTTTTAAATAAAACATTATAGCAATGCTGCAAGCTAGGGCTATATAATCGGTAAATTATATATATATATTTTAATTAAATATCTGCTTTTCATTTAAAATTATTAATAAAAAGAGTTTAAATTTCGACTTTAATTTTTCAATTACAAAAGTTAACCAAAAACTTTAATTTTTTGATGCAATTATAATTTCAACCTTCGCAAATATTTCAAGTTTTTTTTTTTCATAAATTTTAATGAATTTTTCGTGGGTTTATAAGGATCCGAGAATTAAGTGAGCGGTTAGTAAGTGGGCGTTTAACTGTCAAAACGAGTAGCTTACATCACACTCCTTATTTTGGGGGCACCTTATATCCACCAAACAACAAGAGGAAGAATAAGTGGCGATCGGAGTTGGAAGTGTTCGTTGTTTTCCGTGGTAGAATCCAATTTCCGATTAAATATGACATCTGCAAATTCTTGCAAAAGGCCTCGTCAGATATGAAGTTCTTGGCATACTCTCATCAGTAAAGTGAGCTCCCGACGGTACCATGGCTCCGGAACGAAAACGTCGACACCACCATAGAAGTCGGAACGGATGTGTATCCTGCAAAGCGAAGCACATGCGATGCGATGAAAGCAAACCATTCTGGTTAGTAAATCTCGAATCTCGTCAATTGGAAGCTCATTGACTTTTGGAGTCGTAACTGCCTGAAAAATGGGAGCAGCTGTGGCTACACAAGAGCTGAAGGCTCTACCGCAGACCGCCCTCAGCAGTTCTTCACTGCCGCCTCTCTCGTTGAAGAAGTGTCCTCAAATTCCTTGCTTGCTGCGTATTTGAACAAGCCGAGTCCGTTACTTGTACCCGCAACAGTGCCAAATTGGGCGAATGGATCTTCTGGGAGTCTTCCATTGTTTGGCTCCCCATTGCCATTGGCAAGCTCCTTTAGTGGTGATATGATGGACCCTTTCAATGCACTTCCAGTCGTAATGTCCCACAACTCAAATATGTTACTCGATCATTGTGAGTCAAGATCTTGTTTCCCCACCCCGATATGTTGACGATGAGATCGGCTTGGGTGCTCAATATGTCAAGTTGCGTGACAGGCGCACAAGAGAGACTCTTTCCTGAACCATATCAAGGCTTGACTTTGGGTCATGCTGACCTTCGAAAACAGTCAATAATTATCGCATCCTCCTACAAGAGCCAGTCAGAAGGCCTCCTGGGAGCCAGATGTTCGCATGGGCAGTGTCGGATGCCGCTCTTCTCCATGCCACACTTGTCCTTGCAGCAAAACATTGGATATTTCTTGGAGGATCTCGGAGATTGATCGAATCCACGTTATATCAACATAAAACAGAGACTATCAGACTTGTGAATGAGAGGTTGGCTGATCCAGTTGCGGCGGTATCAGACGGGACGGTAGGAGCGGTTGGTATTCTGATATTTGTAGAGGTAAGTCTGGCATTATCCTGTGGGTGTAGAGGCCTGTATTGACATAGAATAGTGCTTGGATGGTTCGGATGAAGCTGCAGCTGTTCATCTTAATGGGTTAGAAAAAATGGTCCAGATGCGGGGAGATCTTTTCTCGCCGAACATGAACGGTCTGCTCCAGAGAATGATCCTTTTGTAGGTCCAGTCCGGTCAGACATGGCGTTTTCTGCTTCTAACTTGGCCTTTATTTTAGAGCTGACCTACTCACTGCAACCGCTAACAACACCAAGCCACGGTTTCAAAAAATTCGTTCATCTGGCAAGGACAAGATGGTTGAGAGAACCCCA